TGATATCTACACTTCTAAGTTATTTAATACATGAGAAATGAATTTTAAAAAATCAGATCATGAAACCATTATTATTTGAAAGAATATGCTCAATCTTCTAGATAATTTAAATTATTTAAGGGTTCTTTGCATTTTTTATTAGCTTTGCCTAAAGTTATAACACTAAAGCGTTAAGGTTACATGTAATGATGTCTGGTTCACCCTTATCTCTAGTCCCATATTTTTACAAACTACAAACTGAGATAAAATTGTCTCAGTCCTGGACAGAATTCTGAAGAAAATGTTTAACTACAAAATCTTCATTCACATGTAAACAATCACAGATACCCATCTGGAAGGAACAGTTCATAAAGGAAGTAGAGATTGGCCAAAGGAAATCTGTACAAACTTTTTGCTTAGGGTATTCATTCCAAAAAGAAAGTCTCTGCTGAGTTCAACCAAGCATGGACAACATGTACCTGAAGTCTATTATTCAGATTGATGCATTTAAATGTCAAAGTTTGTTTTGAATTTTACAGAAGAAATAACATGTTATTGAAATCTCTATGAACAGAAATGATCATAACTTGGAAACCAATGGCTTCATTCAAAACTGTCTTTAAGATCACAGGAGAATTTAATCCCAAACTCCTCTAGGATAACTCTGATCAATTCTTGTTATAAAATAACCAAACCAACAGCTAACATTATTCTAAGCAGTATTACAGCTAGTACTGAGTATTAATTTTTTTCCCCCTTGCTTGCTTCTGGTGTGAAGGAGAATTTTTTATTTTGACCCATTGTTTCATTTCAGTTCTTATACCTTCTAATTCAGGAAAGCCATATTTAACATTGTCACTGACTTTACAAGTCACCTCCACATACGCTCTCACTTGAGCCTAACTGTACCCTGGGAGGTAGAGAGAACGGGAATAGCCGGTATTTTGCAGACAAGGAAACTTTTTCTGAGGCAGGCACAACAGGGCAGAGAGCTGAAACGAGGACTGTGATAGACTGCAGGCCCAGTGGTCTTCCTCCCACCCACTCTGGGCTGAGAACCCCTGGTACGACTCTGTCCTCAACTGAAGGAAAAGAGCCCTAAAGGGCTAGGGGTGAGCCTCGCCTTCCAGAATTATGCTTTACCATAGTGGGCAGCAACTCTGCAAAGGATGTTCACGTTATTTACACACACAGCAGTTTGGTTCCCCTCACACTTCACTCAGTAGCTATAAGCATTTCAGAAATGTTCCCCAAATCAATCCTTTTATCGGAAGCAACACTGAAACCCTCTCTTCCTCTCCATACATTCAAATACATGTAAGAAAGGGTTCCTAGTTTGTTTCCAAGCTAGCCTGCTAGATTCAGATGTAACAAAATTGGAGAACCTTTTCTTTCATGTCTCAGCACACTGGTCCTGATTAAACTTGCTAAGAATTGCACCAAGGTAAGCTTCCTGGGGCTGTTCTTCCCTGAGTTAATGTCCTGTCTGTTTTATTTAGACTCTGAGTCTGCTTAGGAAAGACTATGTCGAATTCTATGTTTGAAATGCCCCTAGCACACTGTTGGCACTTAAATGTAATTATTCAGAATGGAATCATTTAATTAGATAGGAAGAAAAATAGCAAGCCCTGAGACGATAATAAAGAATAAAGCAAATATGCTGACCGACTGAAGCGAAGCAACAGACAGAAAAGAGCATGCACTCGCAAGATAGCCAAGCTGTGATTCTTCGACTCGGATGCACAGAATCGGGCAACGCTGTGACATGCCTTGCTTTTGCCAGTGTCACAGAAAGCAGAGAGCATGACTGATATCGATAACTCCATAGAGTGACGGAGTTTTATGTCTCACACCTATGACTTAGCTCTTGGGGAAGGCTGAGGAGGAGGAAGGCAGAGGAAGGAGATGAAAGCATGGAGTGTGGGCTCCCCTGCTTTCATCTCCTTCCTCTACCTTACTCCTCACCCACAAGCGCTTGAACCCGGGATTGGGAACCCAGTCTGTGCACCTGGATGGGGCAGGTCGTACACACCACCCAGACCTACTTGGTGGGCAGCTGGGGATGCGTGCAGTGCAGAGCCATTTGCTCCCTGTCCTTTAGAAGCATGGCATTGTGAGTACCAGGCAAAGGAACATTTCAAAGTATGACATAGAATGGAATACTCCTTGGAAATTGACCTTCCATACCCCCTCCTCGTTTGGGCTCTGAGACAGTCAACACTTCAGGGTGTACTTTCGACCATGAGAGGGTTCACTCTTTCTCCTCCTCTGGCAAAATTCCAGAGCCTCAGAATGAATGTTAGTCCTTACTTATCTCCTATTCCCCCCACGTCTGCCAGCCTCCAATCACTCAGTGAAAAAAAGATGAAAAAAAAGATTTGTTCAAAAAATACAATAGAAGACGTTTGTTATGGACAATAGCTTTAATACCCTGTACAATACACCATGCAAGTGCCCAAGGAATAAGACCATGTATTTGAATGCTGAGTAATCTAATGAAAGTTCTCCTTAAATGATTTCCTATCTTAATAAGTAAAAGTCATTGCCATCACTTGGTTACAAAATTATGCAAGTTTTATAATGAAGTTTGCTCATTGACTGTAAGGCCTGAATAGTTTAATAATAATCTTTTAAACTGGGGAAAAAACTATGTAATTGAAAACTATTTGAGACAGATGCAGCCAGTTTTCACATCCTCTCCAAGCCTTCCCTAGCTGGTCCCTGGATTGACTTTCGAGGAGGTGGAGAAGATAGGAAAAGGTCCCTTGGAAAGGGTCCCTTTGGCCTGGTGTCCTCTCTTGACTCTGCTACTTTGACGAACTTCCTCTTCAGCCAGACTGGAAGTTCATGGGTAGACATCTTCCTGCATGAAAAGTTTCTTCTCCGTGTGAATCATTAGCTGCTTTTGGATTCGTAAGTCACCATGGTGTACTTTAACCACAGACAGCAAATCCGGCTGTCTGCTAGTCTGCACTTGAACTTTTCATGTGCTTCAGGCTATTTTACGTGAATGGCCAGTAAGCTTTTATTGAGTGCCTATTATATGGAAAGAATAGAATTAAGTATTTGGTTTGAATTCAGCATAGTGCTGGGAAGTTTAATGGTGCTGAATTTAAGGGAAGGAGGCTGAGTATCCTGTTGCTCCTGGGCTTTGGGATAAATCACTAATCTCCCACCCTGTTTTCTAATCAGGAAAATGGGAAGAAACGACAGAACTTACCTCACAGGGCTGTTGGACAACTGAACGAAAAGTGCACAGCATGAAAGTAGTAAACAGTTAATGCTAGCCATTGCTATTACTAGTCTTACTTAAACTGTTATCATCATTTTGACACAGTGTTTTCTAAATGGGCTCCCATGGGACCAGGGAGGGGCGGCTGTGTTTGGGAACCTGCTCATTTGCTGGAACTTTCTTCTCTGAAGCAGTCACTCCTACTTGGCATGCACTGGTGCCCTTAATTTTCTCCTTTGACAGCACCTGCGTGACCCTTTCTTCAAACAAGAGGCAAACTGCTGCTCAACAGTCCCTGCATCTATTCTAGCGGGAGTGATACTTTTTTCTATTACAAAGTTGAGGACAATAAATATAAAGCAGACAAGTGCTGTTCTGTATTATGTCTCTGAGCGGCAACAGTGAGGAGAGAAAATGAGAGAAACCTTCCAAGGACCCAACATCAAGAAAAGCACTTCAGAGAACGGGCTTCTGGGGCAATTTCACAGTCACAGGTGTCTGGCGTGCTCAGCCTCCCAGCCCCCTTCCAGTGTTACACACCTAGGCTGGGTGCTGGGGTGACTACGGCTACCTTCTGTACTTAACCGTTCCTGTCATCCAGGGGACTCAAAGAATTCAAGTTAACACAATCATACAGCTTTAAAGAAATAAAGTTTTAAGAAAGGCAAAAGTTGGATTAGGCAACAACTGGGAAACTTCCACCTTTTCTATGTGAGGTGACAGCTAGATGCTTCCCAGGTAGGAACCACCTGCTGTTGCTCAGGTGGCACGGGGGGCAGCAGTGACTGGGATGTGCAGGCAGGGAAACTGGATCGCCTGCCCCAAGCTGCCCGCTGGTCCCGATGCTGGAGAGGAAGGGAGGAGACACCTGACGGCTGACTGCCACTTTGTCACTCACAGTCTCACTGGGTCCGGGTACCGACAATCCAACCCAACCCACTTGTTGGGAGTAGTATACTAACAACCTAGGCCATTTGACAAATGTTTTTATGTTTTATATATTAATTATATTCCTTCTGTTTTGAGTGAAGCTGTACTTTCTACAGGTTAATCATGTTATAATCCCCACCACACCTCCTTCTTTACCACATGGGTGGCTTTTCCAAAGTCTTCAATCTACGGAACTCCAGAGAAGTACAAGCGATCCTTTGTCGTTTGTGTTTATGATCCTGTTCAACGAAGACGCAAACGATGGACCTGCCTGAAGTTTGGAAGCACTTCCCTTGATTTAGAAATTTTCACAATGCTTCACTCAGTCTCATTGATGAAGTTCAAGCTTTTAAACAACATTCATGTTCAGGTAAGTGACTTTCTAGTGGCTGAACTGCAAATCTGGATCATTAATGTACAGTCCGGGCCTGGGTTCTGTTTTTAATCATGACCCTGGAAGGTACCAGACTCTATGAAGTGATAGGAATAGATTATACTGGAGAAAGTATAGAAAAAGTCAAAAGCATAAGAACTATGAGAGAATCTCGACCAGAAACATTTTAGGAACAACTGAATGGAATCTCTACTCTTTGAGGTTATATTTAACGTGTTTGTATATAATAGCAAAAAACAAAAACCCACATATATATTTCACCTACAGATGGTTGAAATGTGATTTACTATGATTTTATAATACTTTATATAATCATCTGTAATTAAATTAGTGTAAGGTAAAAATAATAAAAAAATAATATAAAATACTGAAAACAATTGCTAGTCTAACCAGCATTCTTTTTCATAAAAGAAAGTATCATATGCAACAAAGTGGCAAAAACAGAATGGAGTGAGCTGTGGTTAAGTGTAAATCTGTATAGCGATGAATATCATTTATATTATCCTTCCTTCTTTGAATAAATTCAGATGACAGCCCTATTTCATTTCTTCATTCACTTTGGAGGCCAGATGGCATTAGAATCATTTACTTCACCTTGTTGTGCTTAATTACTACAATCAACACACTATTTTCCAAATTAATCATAACAAAGTAATTTCATTAGTAACACAGCAGGCTGTTGAATTATTAGCATCATAACAGTTTGCAAACAATTAAACTTTATTTGAACCTTAAAAATTTGCAGAGTGGAACATTATTGTAAGATCTAATGGCAACAGAGTACAAATTCAGTACCGAGCAAATAATCAAGTAAAATGCTATATAAAATATGACTTACAATCACCTTTGAAAAATATTAGCTAACTGTTCATAGAAAAACAAATAGAAGCTAAGCAAACATAATGAGAACATAGCAATTAGCATCTTCTCTAACAAGCCGCGTTGTTTAAATTCGCATTAATTATATTATTACGACCTTTAGTGTGTGGTGCGTCATCAAGGGTGTACAGAAAACTTTCTCCCTGGTCGCATACAAATGATTTCATCAAATGAATACAACGTTGTCCAAGACTGAAAGTGACAGTTATTTTTCCTGTCACTCCACTTTTACATTTTGTTTTCTTTCCTATCACCCACCTAGACTCAAGTTAAAAAAGAACAAAGGCCAAGAGGAGCTCTGGACAGAAGTAACTCTTCATTTCTGCATTGTCGTTCACAGAGAGACCAGCTGGCTGGGAATTGTTGGTCATCCGTTGGCGAAGGACTCCCTCTCCTGGATTAACTGTAAAAGGAGGCAGAAATGTTCTAAATGCTTTACATTCTGTGTGAGTTTGGGCCAGAGTGGGGGAGGGGCTTCCAAGCGGCTTGGTGTGCAACAAGAAGCTGCTGCCATCTGCTGGCCCAGAGCTAAAATCTTCCCTCAGCCAGAAGCGCCAAACCTGTGTCCACTCCACAGGCAAGCCCATGTCTTCAGTGGAAACCCACAGCTGCTCTTGCTTTACAGCCTCTCGGGCTTTGGAAACCAGTCCATTAGCCTCGCCTCTACTTGTTCTACTTTTCCCAAGACGATTTCAATCTATTCCAATGGCTTTCTATTAGGACAAGATTAATGAGTGCACAAATTACTTTCTGAAAGCTTTGATTCAACAATGTTTAATTTATATAAACTAGAATTTACCCCAAATCTCTACACTTAACACTTTGACACCTGAAATCTCATGACCACGATGCTGCGGAAACAACGGCACCGATGCACTCAGAAATGGGGCTTGTGAGTGGTTTTACGTACGAGAGGGAGGTTTTCGGAGAGTATCAGCTTCTGTGGGAGGTCAGAACCTTTATCTTTACGAAAGCAAAGATCTGAAAAATTCAACAAAGGTAGTATGTACTAATCAACAATTCAATGTAAGGAGATTAGATATGCTCCAAATAATTATCCATGCGGCAGTACCTTCTGATGCATATATTAAGGCCAGGCTGGTTCTTTATAGACACTTAAAATGCCTTTGAGTTCAAATATACATGAAAAGGTAATGATCCGATTCTGCAGATCTTGCTCAGGCCTCAGAGCACATTCTTCCCTCCAGTGCCGGGCCGACGCCGCCCTTCCACGCCTGCTGCTGTGTGTGCCCACTGTGGTTCCCGCACGCTCCACTTGGAGCCCTCTGTCTTCTTCGCTGCTCGGAGGTGTGCAGAAAAGACTCACGTCTGGAGTTGCACTGTTTTGCTGTGGGACTTTAGAAGCTTAGCCGTGATCAGACAGGATGAAAGAGAGCGAGGGGTCACACCTTCTTACTTCTGGAGTGCACTGAGAGTATTTATACTGGTGGGGAACGGGCTTTCTCACGGCGGGAAATGTCGGCAAGCGCGTTGTCTCGCCAGGGTGTTACTAACACAGGGCTTCGCACACAGCACAGCTCTGGCCTGCGTGTGTGTCCTGGACGGTGACGGCGCACTGCGGCTGGCAACCTATCCTCGCTTCTTTCCTGTGGCTATTCTTAATGTAAGGTAATTTGCCAATTAGTAAGCATTCTTTCCTGAAACCATGTTACTATTGTGTGAAAAATAAACACTAAGATAAATCATCTAAAAGTTTTAATAAAGCCTTATTCTTTATGTACCATCTATCCAAAACTTGCATAACATGTTCAATTTAAATTTCAATGGAATTATATAGTACAGTATACAAAAATAACTGGTGTCCAATATTGAAATTGCAACTTATATCAGAAGTAGCAGTGACTATATAGAACATATAAAATAGTGCTGAATTCTCCACACAAGTCAAACAAGTAAGTAAAAACTACAATTATTTCTTTGCAAAATAGCAACAGGTATAACTTTCCTGCTTGTATCTAATTTGCATTAGTATCCTTCATTTAGTTTCACATCAGAGGGCTGTTATAATGAATGCATAAAATAACGAAGATGCGTGATGCTCAACAAAACAAGGGAAGGCTATGAGCTGTCACTCGGGCTTTCACGGGGTTCTGAATCCAAAGCATTTGCGGCAGCAGGAGAATATTCCTCTCCTGCAGGCAGAAAGGGAAAGTTGCGTTATAACTGTTTCCTTCAATTAAAATGTTGATGTTTCCTGCTTAGAAAAAATTACATTTTTTAGCCAAGGAAACATGAATGTTTACTCAACCTTTTGTCAACTTTTTTTCTCAGAAAGGCCATAAAAAGTGGCATTTTCCTAAAGAGGTGAAGGTTTGGAAAAACAGCTGGCAATTATCAAAGGGGCTTTCCCTTAATAATCTGTTTAGAAAGTAAATTCTATGAAGTTATTTTTAAATATCAAACAGATTTTTTTAAAAAGATGCTGATGATTAGGGAACATAATCTCTGTGTTATCAGAAAAATACCAAGACTTTTAAAAAGGCAAAGACTCATAAGGCAGAGACCAAGAGAACATATGAGCCATTACAGAATATTGGATTAAAATGTACTTACCCAGGACTCTCAAATATCATACATCTCCATTATGTAGGCTTTCGGCACCAAGCCAATGGCTCCCTTCATTTCTCCTACCCACCAGCCATATCTATTGTATTCCTAATTGAAAACAATATGCAATATTAACCTTTAGACTGGTGGAAGTACAATGTTGTTTGTGTGCAACTTCTTAGAAATGTTATTTCTTTTTATAAAGTTACAAGAGCTTGAGCTGCAAATTGAAACATTTTAATCCTTTTTTTGTTTGTTTCTGGACACTTTAAAAATGCTGTTAGGCAAAGATTTAAATTAATGTATAAGACAAAGCCTGTTTATTACTGGGTGTAAAACACAGAAACAGTCACTTACAAGAACCTGGCAAGCTCATGCTCGCTCTATCTCCCCCCACACCCTTGTAGAGGCTACGGGGTCACAGCCAGGATCCTTAGGATACTGTCTTTGCCTTCAAGAAGCTTATCATCTAGCAAGGATAGATTTTTTTCACAATAAACTACTAATTCCTACTTAAACTCATATGACCAAAAATGGTTTAGAATATGGAGATATCTCCCTTCTTTAAAAAATCTAATATATGAGTATAGCCACTTTAAACATATAAATTAGAGAAAATAAGAGAACACTAATAATACCAAAAAATTAATTATAAAACTATTCACAGAAGGGCTCCTTTAAAAGAAGATTCCCTAAGGCATTTATTGTTCTTTTTATTGACCATAAACTGCAATAGATCAAGGATGGGTAGAAGGAACTTAAAGGTGATGTTAGATTCACCCTGACAGCAGAAGATCATCAGGAAGGGAAAGTATCTCATGTTATAAAGGTGACATACTCATCCAGCTGTAAACAAGAGTGACTCGAGGTGGCTGTGGCCCTCACCCTGCAGGATGAGAGGCCCCGCCCTTCCGCTTCCCCGTGGCCTCCATCAACAGACCAGCCACTGCCGCAGTTGTCAGAACAACTGGTCTCCCCTGTCTGCCAGACTGATTCACATATTTTTATCTCAGATTTATGTTTAGTGAGAGACAAACAAAGTAAAATGAATTACAAGTTTCAAGAATAATATCCTTCAAAAGCAATATTCTACAAAAGCACCGGAGTGCCCAAATTTAATTTTTCGCATAGATAAATTTTTTAAATCAACCCCTGCAGTAATTCAATAGGCTGTAATTTTCTGACACACGAGTCACAGAAAAATGTGCGTATGCACACTGAGTTGCACTCGGGGAGGGGACGGTCACACCAGCACAGGCTGCACGTCTGTACTGATTAGCACGCTGTTGACCATGGGAGGGGGCGGGGATCATGCAATGCTTCAGTAGGAATGTTGCAACATTAATGTGTGTGCTGATGTGTGGTCTCTCAGTAGAAAGATTATTGGGTTAAAATCTACACGTGCTTTTTAAAACTCTGACGCATCAGAATTAGGTTTGCTGAAAGAACAAGGAGGAAGCAAAAAGGGGAGAAGGGCCAGCCCTGCAGCTCTGCTGCTAGTAAGGGCGCATCCAGCCTGTGAGACAGTGGACTCAAGATTTTAGGGTTAAAAGTTCTCTGACCATGTGAACTTAGTGGACAAGCTGTCTAAGAAATGAAAATAGTCTGATGCCCAGAACTCAGTGATGATGACTGTAATGTATGTAGGATATATTTATCACAAGAAAATACCAACTTACTGAAAGCTAAGATTAACAACCATTATATCCTAATACGTACCTAATAAAACTGCCCTTTTCAATTTTTAAGGCAATGAATACAATTAGAGCCTAATGCTTAGCAAAACAAATGTATTTAACCTTTCAAAGGCCAAAGGCTTACACTGTAAAATTTCCAGATGGACGGTTAACAGGGTAAGGTGTGAGGGCTCTTACCCAATGCCAAGCTCAGATTCCCGTTGATTTGGAAGGAGCAGAGAAACTACATTCCCCAAAGGGCAGACTAGAACACAGTCCGTGGGAAGGCATCTTATGACTCAAACCTGTGTTCAGAGAATAGTCCACAATCTGGGTTTCACTGTTTAGAGTCTAATTACAAACCAGAAGCTCGTATTACTTTATAATATTCTGCTGTGGTTATAACCTGTGCTCTCAATTAAGGATATATTATTGTTCTCAAAAAGCTGACTCACATCCAAATTTTTAAAAATTTATTTCCAGCAAATAACCAACAAATGATCAATGACATGCTTCGCACGGGAGAGATTCTGAGATAGTAACTGGTAAGACTCACGAAGTAGGAAACACGGCAGTAAACAGCAGGGAGGAGCGTGTTCGGCTGTAAACAAATCCCCTTAAAGTAACATTCTAGGAAAAAAAGTTTTACACTGAAATCATTTTAAATGCTTCACTTAATTAATTTAAAATAATTGAAAGCATATGAAATACACACCTCATAAAAGTACTCTAAAATATCACCGGTTTAAATCAGAAAAGGGCACAAATAAAAAACTGGAATGTTTATTACTTTACATTCGTAAAGGATTCCATATAATACTCCTGTGTGGAATTAAGAGGTAAGATAAAATATAGTGAGGTAGAAATCTAAGAGGCAAATTTATGGATTTACACTGCAGCCGTTAGGGTACGTCGACGAGACTGCAAACACAGAAGCTGTTACTTTTATCATTACCATCCTCTGTACGAGCCTCCTGAGCCACATGAATCCCAATTAAACCATTTGCAGCCTATAAATTGGAATGAAGATGCTTCTTGGAGTACAGTATCGGAAACTTCAGCCTGAAGATTCAATATCATACAAGATGCCTCTGAAAAAGAAAATCTGCCTTTCCTCGCCTTCCCCCAAACAAATGTGATTATGAATGACAGATTACTTACAGTGGAAAATAATACAATCCATACAATGTTGTCTTGCAGTCCACATACTGATTACAGTACTGTTCTAAAAGTCACAGGTGGGTCATCCACAAAACAACCACCGTCAAACCTGGTCTTATTAATAAACAGAAAATAAAGAGACAAAACCATAGCGGGCTGCCATCTACGTCTTTGAGAGGTCAGGAAGCACCATGTCATCTTTATGGCACACGAGAGCTCAGGTACAAGAAGATCTGCCATCTGGTCTTGCTCACCCTATTCAGTCTTAACATCAACTGAAATGCTAACATAGGCAAGTGACTGCACTTCAGGAGGACTGATAAAATAATGAAGAGTCCTTTAATCTACAGGAAACCATTCTAGTCAATTTATAAGAAATATTGCATCCCTTTGTAGGACGTGTAATTATTTTCTATTAATCATGTGCTATAAAGCTACATTATGCGGTTATTCTGTTATCACTAGAAAGAGGCCTGCAGTCAGCTTCTGACAATGTTAGGTAATTACTAACACAAAGCTTCTTTCTCTTCCGGTCGTAATGCTATCAAGATCCAGAGGTGTAGTGAACACTTATTGTATAAAAATAGTACTCAAACAAAATTCAGTATCTGCAAAACAGATGGCTTCAAGGCAAAATGTGATGTGGTGGTCAAAGAAGAAACAAGCCAAACTGGCCAAATAATCTGAGAAAATAATCAGAAAGCAGCACCAACAGTTGTGATGTAACTCCTGCTTTCAATTTTCATACCATTAAAATCGCTTTTATTAGTTTGGTTTTGTAGTTAAAAGTTTAGGCCTCAACTAATAGGTGGTAAGCAATAAATTACAGTGATTGCATAATGAGGCAGGAAAAAAGGACTAGTTTTGATAAAGTGAAACAGGGACTCGATCCAACACAATGGTAAATGTTGTGTCCTGTTTACTCACTAACTACACCTCCGTCTGTGTCGGTGTGCCATTTTACACTTAAATGAGGCCCCGGCATTTACTACTTAAACCCTTTTCAACAGCACGATTCTCATTTTTCTACTATGTTAATCCACTTTCTGCTAACCACGTGGTAAAAGAATGCTGCCTTAAAGGAAACCTGAAACACTAATAAGGTTTTGTGATGTGCTCCCCCTTCCAGAAATTAGTCATGATCTGTTTGAAAGCGGCAGGTGTTAGAAAGGTCCTTTTCTTCTAACATATATCTGTGTTCTAACTATTCACTGTGATGTTTTCAATTCTTCCAATTATTGGAAAGCATAGCAACATGAAAACTAGGTAGTTATGTAAAATATGGAAATACTTTCTTCAAGGCTACCTCTTCAATCTCCAATCAGAAACTTTATAACAATCCTTCCATTCCTCACACATCCCTCATTTCAAAGGATCTCTTAAAATGCACAACGGGAGTGCCACGACCTCAGCGTCTTACTGCTTTGGCTGCACACTAACTGCTCTAGTCAGTCTCCTAACCTGCTGAGTGAGGAAAGGGACCCCAGCAGGCCCTAAGGTCCTCCCTGAGGTATGAACCCCATTCATGAACCCACTGGAACAGAGTCTCCTGGCAACTTCTCACTTTATAACTTACTACATGGGTGTGACCTTTGAGTTACTCTAACTCAGAGAATTACTGTTTTTTTCTCTCCTTGCACTGTGCAAGGAAGGACAAGTAAGCAAACTGATATAAGAATTTAATTCTTATAACACACTGCAGTTTATATTCCAGAGTCAAGACACAATTCAAATTCTACCCAGTCACCATTTACAATACCTTACAGTAAAAAAAAAAAAAACTGACATTCAGGTTAATGACTCATAGATTCTGTCAGGCAAGGAGAGATCCAACTAGGCTCAGCAGAAAGCAGCCTTGGTGCTCAGTGTGTTTCGCCAGTCGACACCTGACTCTGATGGCTGCCCTCTGGTTCACCCACGCTTCTCTCTCTTCCCACAGCCACCACTCTTGCTCAGGCTTCGTCACCTCGCCCTGGATAGCTGCACCATCAATTCTGCCTCGCTGTTCTTTCCAGAAACTTCCTTTGCCAGTTTACTCTGCTGCTCAAGAACTTATACTAGCTCTTCAATGCATCAGCCGTGAACTCCCCAGTATGGCTCTTCCCCACCCTGCCGGCAACGTCCTTTTCTCACTTGCCTGGTCACCAGAGTCCAGTCTTCCAGGCTCCGCTGGTTCCCGCCTGTGTGTGGTGCCTCCTTCCCAGGGAATGCCACCCTCCCTCACCCGGACCCTAACTGGAGGCTAAGACCTGACTCGAGTTACCCATCTGC